CATATCTCCAAAACCGCTAGACCTGCCTTCATGTAAATGTTATCAGTTATTCATCTTGTTAATACAAGTGAAATGTTTTTTGAATTATTCAAATCGGACGCTCCGTTCTCTTAAAAACTGAGTTACCGTTTTCGGCACTTTTTGCCCCGTATCCTTGGAACGGCTAGACCTGCCTTCGCCTCTTAAAAACTAATCAGCACGTCTCCTCATCAATACGAATCGAATGTTTTTTGAATTATTCAAATCGGTTGATCCGTGTTCCCGAAATCGTCGACGAAAATTTGTATCCGCACATACATACACACACGCACATACATACATACATACATACACACACACACACACACACATACATCCATTTTTTCTAAGGTATGCCAAAATGTTCAGAAACCTCTGAAACGTAAAGATATATAAAAATTTTCATTTTCGATTTTTTTGCGATTACTATAACTTACCCTACGGGAAGTTAAAAACAAAAAATGTGATTTACCAAAGAGTACTGCAATGAAACGTATAATTTGCGGATTTACTTTTATTTACCTAGAGAAGTTCAACTGAAAAGCACTTCATTTTTGTAATCGAAATAAATTCAATTACAGTTTCAATTCTAATTACTGTTGTGTAATAAAATCAAATTTTTCCTTTTCAAATATAAAACAAACAAAAAATTTCTTCATCTTTCTAACGAAACCATCTGGTGGCGAAACGGAGTTCGTCTGGTTTGCTAGTTAAACAAATAAATATTTGTATTTATTTGTTTCTTTTATTTCGACGACTGGCTAAAGATCATTATTCAAGATATATATATATATATATATATATATATATATATATATATATATATATAAGATACTAATAGAAAATTTTCACAACCAACTTGAATCGAATAAAAAAAAAATCACTTGATTACTTATGATAATTTTTTTTAAATTTATTCTAAACTTGAATTTATTGCTTTTTAATTTATTTATTAATATACATTTTAAGGAAATTTTGATTAATAGTATTGATCCAGGTTGATCCATGTTGTTCAAATAATAAGAACCACTGCAAAGCGGCGTATAATATATATATATATATATATATATATATATATATATATATATCTTGATAGTTTTTTCGACGTTGAAACATATTTCAAAGTAACTAGCAGCCCATTCGTCGAAATAAAAAAGGTAATAAAGTATAAAAACTTTTATTTATACGTTTCGACACAAGATGCGTGTCATCATTCAGCAACACAGGACAAAAACACTCAACAAAAATTTATTTTAAAAAATTAAACTTAATAACAATTAGAAAAAAACATTTTTTAGAAAAAATTATGTATAACTAAAAGATTTGAAAACTAATTTTACTAAAAGTTATGAAATACATCATTGTGAAGCTAGAAGCACGCCCATACCGAGCATCTAGACTCGACTCAAATATATATATATATATATATATATATATATATATATATATATATATATATATATATATATATATATATAGTTTTATCTGTTTATAAGAATCAGATTTGAATGATTCAAAATACTTTCTACTTGTATTTACGAATCGATTGCTTCTGAGGAAAGAAATTTTTAAATATTTTTTATTTAATTTCCAAAAAAATTTTTTTTCTAAATTTTATTTGTCAAATATTTCATTATGATGCGGGAGGGCTTGTCCGTAGGTGGGCGGTTAAGAGCGACGGGACTTGTTTCAGAAGTCCCGGGTTCGATACCCACTTCAAGCAGCCTGTTGTCAGGCAGCAGTGACAACGATTTTCACTTGGAAATATAGATAGCAATATGTTTCCAAGTGAAAATAGCCCTTGCCCAGCATTGCTGCACCAATAAAAAGTCAGCCCTATTAGATTAATTCTAATAACAAAAATCATCAAATATGGATGGATTAACCACTGGGTTACCATCTAAAAATACGAAGTAAGGAGAAGTTTCAGCCCAACAGCTCATAGAACGTAAGGTTCTGATTGCTGTTAAAAAAAAATAGTGCGGGAAGTTCCAGCAATTTGCCTTAAGGCACGATGCACTACACTACTAGTTTTTTTTTTTATGAGCAACCCGTAATCAATAATAATAAATTATATTTCAAGCAATTGTCAAGCTTATTCATAATTAATATCTAAAGGAAAATAAATTTAAAATATTTATAGTAGCTGCACAGAGGTCGCTTCTGGAAAAAAAAGAGATGAAAAAAGTCAACTCGAAAATTCTTACATAAAGTTGAAAGTAATATTAGCTAAACGAATTACTGAGTTTAAAATTTGTAAATCAAATGATAAATAATAAATTAAATACGTAAAAATTATAAAAATAATACAAGAATAAAAAAAAACATGGTTATTTAGGAGGCCAAATGGTCAGACTACATAGATAAAGGATAAGGAATATTCCAGAAAATAGTTATTGAATACAAATTGAGAAAATTCTGTATATCATAAAAAGCAAATACTTTAAAATTTTAACTAAGCATGAAATTTTTTGTTGTCTAAGTTTCGGATATTGAGTGGAGGTCAGAAAGTTTATTCATAAGACTGGCTAGTTTATATGTACGCGCCTTAATAAGTTTGTGTTTAGTGTTGTAGTTGGAGGAGGACAGAGCCATTTTAAAAAGTTGTTTTTGATGAAAGATAATTTTACTAGCAGAAAAACTTATGGGATATTTAGAATATTATGTTCTTGAAAAATGCTTCAGCAAGAAGCTGTACAGGGCAAAAAAATATTGGTATAGCTTCTGAAGTTTAAATATTTTAATTAGTTCGGATGAAAAGCCCCCGAATTGGGTTTTCTCAATTTCAATTTTCAATCTTCAAGTTTATATTATCTTCTTCATATCATCCTATTCTTTTTTCTATACTTCTTAACTTTATCTTCATTCTTCTTTACTATCTTCTCATTTCATCTTCTAACAACATATTTCTTCGTGAAAAATGCAAAGAAATTAAACATTTCTTGAATTATATTGAAAAAAAAAAACTTATTAATTTGATATTTTTATTATTTTAGTTTCAACTAAATCAGCTCGCAATTTTTCGTCAATAATGCGCAACAGTTAATTTAATCTTTCGCAGGTTTTGGCTTATGAGATTGAACACTTTTTCGATTCCACGGTAACTTCAAACAAAGAAAAAATTGAATAAGTAGATTAAGCAATGAACAGAGCTGTTATTTACTAATTTGCAGAGTCATTAATCGGTTAGTTGTTTCTACTGATATCACAATGCAAAATAAATGTGAACTAGCTGTAAGTGGAATTCTGTCCTAAGGCAATTAAGGCATCGTGCCTTAAGGCAAATTGCTGGAACTTCCCGTACCAAAAATTATTATTTTTTTAAAAACAATTAACATTTTTGAAAAAAATTACTTTAAAAGAATAAGATTTTTGAGAAACTATAAATTGGACAAAAAATAACTTTTTTTTGAAAAAAAAAAATTTTTTTTAAAAAAACATTTTTTTTTAAATTTTTTTTTTTTTTTTAAAAAAATTTTTTTTTCTTTATTTTGACATATTGTAGAAGATCTGAACTTTTTTTCAAAGCAATCGTACTGCTTCAACTGCATAGGGACAAAATATAAAGCGCGTAAGCGCCGCGTCGCTGTCTAACGTATGAGCATTGGTACGGAACCCATAGAAATGTTAACAAAATGTATACTTATTGTTAAAATATCTGATAATTTGATGTGCATATGTCTAATGATCATTTTTGACCGCCAAATGGCTCATTTTTTTACTTTTTCCTCCATATCTCCGAAACCGCTAGACCTACCTTCATGAAAATTTTATCGAGTGAAACAAGTGAAATGTTTTTTGAATTATTCAAATCGGACGCTCCGTTCTCTTAAAAACTGAGTTACCGTTTTCGGCACTTTTTGCCCCGTATCTTGGGAACGAATAGACCTGCCTTCGCCAAAAACTAATCAGCACGTCTCCTTATCAATACGAATCGAATGTTTTTTGAATTATTCAAATCGGTTGATCCGTGTTCCCGAAATCGTCGACGAAAATTTGTATCCGCACATACATACACACACGCACATACATACATACATACATACACACACACACACACACACACACACACATACATCCATTTTTTCTAAGGTATGCCAAAATGTTCAGAAACCTTTGAAACGTAAAGATATATAAAAATTTTCATTTTCGATTTTTTTGCGATTACTATAACTTGCCCTACGGGAAGTTAATAAATGCTTTTTGTATCTCCGTATCCCTAATTAAGTTAGATTGTTTATTATAATTTATTAAGTATTCTAGATTTCTCATAAATAATAATAAGATTAAAAATATATTTTCATTTGAAAATAAGCCCATTTCGGGCACTGCGGTGTGAAATGGTAATGGAAAATCTTTCAGAATATTATATGAATGGAGTTCACCAGACAAGATGTTGCCATTAAGTGATATCTACAGGTTTATAACTGCTCACGTAAAGTGTTCTACAATTTTAATACTGAATGTATAAACGGAGAACAATATGTTCACATGTGTTGAGTTGAAACACTTTCAAATATAGTTTTTTTTAGATTTTGTTGGACGTGTAAAGATTTGATTAACATCTGATGAGATTCGATTAATTTCTATCAAGTGAATAATGGAAGTCATTAAGATTCTCGCTTACTAGCTATTTATCATTTGTCCAAGTACATTAACTAGACTGCATAACAGGTACCAGTAAATTTGACAGCATGGCGTATTAAGTGCAGCGCTAACGAGAACGCCTCATAAATAAGAAAGAGGAGACCTAGCTTAGCAAGCATTGGTCGTTATAAAACGATAGAACAGCGAGGGTGTGGTTTCGATCCGCTTGTTGTAACGTACGTCCCTGCGATACTTGTTCCGAAGGCGGAGTTTGCGGTGGGGAGCCCGAACTCATTCAGCGTGATTGCCGAACTCCAGTATTAAGTTGAGCCTTTAACCGTGAGTACGTGTTGTTTTGTGTTGTGCGCGTATTAGCAGTGCAAGGAAACATAAGAATGCCACGTCCGTCGCGTGAGTCTTATGGCGATCAAAAGCCTCCATATTCGTATATATCATTGACGGCAATGGCGATATGGAGTTCACCAGAAAAGATGTTGCCATTAAGTGATATCTACAGGTTTATAACTGATCGTTTTCCATACTATAGGCGCAATACTCAGCGGTGGCAAAATTCTCTACGGCATAATTTATCGTTTAATGACTGCTTTATAAAGGTTCCACGAAGACCCGACAGGCCTGGGAAGGGTGCATACTGGGCTCTACATCCGCAAGCTTTTGATATGTTTGAGAATGGAAGCTTGTTGCGACGTCGGAAACGATTCAAATTATTGAAAAATGATAAAGATCTACTAAACGATGAGCTAGCGGCGTTGGCCAATATCAACAGGTTATTTTTCGCCCCGAACGATGCAGCCCCATCTGTGGACATAGCACCACAGTTGTCACCTCGCTTGATGCCATCGCCACCACCTGCAGGTGCTACTGAGCCTATTTCTGCTGATAATTCGCGACGACCCAAACGAGCTTTTACAATAGAGAGTCTAATCGGACCCGATCCGCCACCGGCGCCTCCCTTGTGCTATCCTCTAGCTGCGCCGCCGGTGCACCCGCTTCTTCTTCATCCTGCCGCTTATCCTTACTTCGCGCAAGTATATCCTACACTACCGCCACCGCCAGACTTCCTGCATCGGTACGCAGGTCCAGCGTTGCGTACCACTTGATACATTCGGTCGCAATCGGCGACTTATAGTGATTTAAAAATGTTTTTGTGATTAACTTGCCGTCAGTGCTGCATGCGGATTTTGCAAATTTGGCGACAAGGTACATTAGTTCTCTATATAAGTTCATTTCGGTGGAGTTATGGTGATAAAAATAGCGCATATGTAGATTATTGGACGTTTGATGCATGTTTGTTGTATAAAGTATGATTGAAGCAAGTCGTTGCGCAATTGTTAAAATAAATGTGCCGTTGACAATAAAAAAATTAATGGTGATGAACAATTGATGTTCGACACTTATTATTATTATCGGCAGTTGTGTTAATATATGAAAATGTAGAATTAGGCGCAAAGATTTTGGAGTATGCAATGCGTACCTACTTTTATGTGATATTACGCAATTTTATTGATTTGCAATACATTAAAGTACATGTAATTTTTGTAATAAAAAAACTTTGGAAAATCTTTTATAGATATTGAGCCCGTGACACTTGTTTCTTATACAATGATGTGTTCATAGGACTTAAAATTAGACACACATAAATATATACATATGTATAATGTATAAATAAATAAACATTTATATAGAAATTTATATAGAATCTATTAATCGGGCATAACATATCAACAAGAGACACGTATTTATTTAAAAATTTATTTAAAAATTTATTTTAAAATCTGAATTCTGGCAATAGTCCTAGCTTTCAATCAGTGGAACTGAAACCAAAATTAATAATTAAATAATAGAACAATATAGTTTGAAATATTACTAGCAAAAAAATTAAAAAGTACTTAAAAATAGCTTATCGTAGAATTAAAAACTGGTAAGATATTGGTTCATTATTAGACTCTATTAATTTATATGTCAACATCAAATTCAGAGTTATGACTATATATATGTATATATATATATATATATATATATATATATATATATATATATATATATATATATATATAAGAGAGAGAGCTAAAATTCGTCGACATGAATTAATATTAAACTTATATATTTATACGTTTCGAATGCTGATTATTTCATTACTTTTAAAATAATTGCAAAACATAAAGAATATAAAAAATATTGATATATTTAGATTAGTAAAATTTATACATACGTCACCAAGAAAAACAAACAAGAAGATTGAAACAGTTTTAGTTACAAATTACACGAAAACCTTATTATTTTTAATATTGATTCATTTTTTAATTCGATAAATTAGCTGGTTCATATATGTAACAATATAATATTATATGTACATATATATATATATATATATACAAACATACATATATAAATATAAATATATATATATATATATATATATATATCACATCTTTAATATGAAGGGAAACAAAAGTTTCTTATGGAAATACCATGGGATCTTTCTTAGAATTTTATTAATAGGAATACTATGATCAAAATCAACAAATACAATGTTATTCTCAAATTTTTTTTGAATTTGTATTATTTGACGCCGAATTCTAAAATTCCAATAAACAAAAGGAATTTTTCCCATGTTATTTTCATAAGAAACTTTAGTGGAGTGCGGACTATCACAACGATAATATTGAAAGCTAAAACTTTCAGATTTTTTTATCAATTTGGAAGCATTTCAGCCCTTGAATGCAAAGAAATTCGAAAATATTTTTATTGAGGACCACCCTGATATATATATATATATATATATATATATATATATAGGTTGTCAAATATCTCCCTTCCGCTTTTTTGCTCTTAGTTTATAATACAAAAAGGCGGAATATATATATATATATATATATATATATTATATATATATATATATATATATATATATATATATTCAATAAGTCCATAGTCCAAAATTCTTTTTTTTAATTCTATATAATTTTCTTCAAGGACAATATATAGATTATAGCGAAATTTGAACTTTTCATTATCTACTATCATTTTTATAGTAGGTGCGATTTGTACTTTGTTACAAACTTCGGCGATCATCTCTTCAATCGTCAAAAATTTGTTTGCAGCGAACATCTTTTTGAGATCTGAGAACAGGATATGGTCGCCGGGGAACAGATATAAAGAATAAAGTGAGTAGGGAAGCAATTCCAAGCCCAAATGTCTTTTTTGCCACTATTTTCACGGATTTGTGACTTGGTGCGTTGTCTTTATGAGCCGTTATTCCGATTTTAATCTTCAATTGCTCCAATATCGTTATGTTATCGTTATGATGGTCTGGTCTTTCTCAAGATAGTTGATAAAGATCTTGCGAAATCCAAACAAACTAATTCTCGTTTCTTTGGGATTTAAAAATTTTGGGAGAACTACTTTGCATTTTTTCTCCTCATCATGTCTAGTCCACTCGACTGACTGTATATTTGACTCCGAAGTGTAGTGGTGAAGCCAGGTCATATCAGTGGTAATATATTGAAGCAAAACCTCAGTTTTATTTTGAATAAACAGCCACAAATCCTCTTACTTACGAATCATCAACTCGTTATGCTTTTGGTCCAATGCGGGTACGCGCGGCACCCATTTAGTACAGAGCTTTGTTCTATTCAAATATTTGTGAACAATATGTTTAACACACAATAATAACACAATATGTTCTATTGATGCCTTTAGGGTGTCCGCTATCTCAGGCAATTTTACTTTTTGGTTTTCCAAAACGATTAGGTGGGCATTTCTGTTTTCAGGTTAAAATCAGAATAACACTTCTTCACTGTTTGCTTCCATTTGGCAGAGTCCAGATAACACTTATCAAGCAATAATTTGGCTGTGATGGTATTTTTACCCATCAAAAACCAATGATAAATCAACACACGGAATGGCTTGCTACGGATTGAATTGATGGTTTTGAAAAACTCAAAAGTAGCGTCACTTGAATCTATTTAACTTGTAAACTAATCGTCGGATTGGCATGAAATTTTGACAGATATCTTCTTAATGTTGGTGCTTCCTATATTCTACAAATCATGTGGATTATTACATAGCGACATCATCTATGTGCCATACTACGGACTTATTGAGTGACGTATTATATATATATATATATATATATATATATATATATATATTATATTTTATTCATATATTATACATATGAAAATATTTATAATGCGTAAATTTATGTAAATTATATGTATTTAATTAGAAATTGTTCGCAATTATGTTAGTATACTATTTGTATATATAGTATTTATTTGAAGAATCTTGCGCAGGCATTTATAATTAATTAAAATTAGAAAAATATTATAGTAGTACATGAAAAATATTTTAATTTATTTTCAAATAGTATGAATTATTCATTTGAAATTATTATAAATAAAACAAAGAGTTATAAAAAACAAAGGGTTATTTTACTTAGAATAATTGTATATGCGAGATAGTTGAACAATGCGTTCAAACAAATATATATTTATAATAGGTTGAGCGCGCTTTTTTAAGGTCCGCGGGTAAAAAGGTCTACCACCGATATTTCAGAAATCAGTAAAGTTAAGAATTTTTAACAACAATTTTTGAAAGTGAAAAAGATGTATAACCAGCCAGTACCTTGATTCTTACGATGTTACTATTAGGAGATGAAAGTATATTCTTTTGCTTAGTTTACGAGACCATAATATAATTTTTACGAATACATTATTTAATTGTTTTTTAAGTTAGATTTAACGGTTCTTTTTTATATAAACTTTATACAAGCTTTCACCTTGGTGGGGTAAAAAGGACCAATTGAATCTTTACCCTCGCAAAGGCGTAAAAAATAAAAAATAGTGAAAAAGTAAACAACAGTTAAATTAAATAAATAGTTATTGCAACTCTTCTGATGAATATTTCTGACAAAAAAAAACAGATCATGGCTTTTTACAGTGTTATATCTGTAGAAAATGCACTCATAAAAATGATTTTTTTCATTGTATAATGTTGCTATTATTTTGTGAAATTCCGTCAAAATTAAAATATGACATTGGAACTGTTTGCCGAATAGTTGTCCCAATTTACTTGATTGGATAATAATGGTCAAATGATCCTTTACCTGTCAAATGCGTAAAAAATAAAAAATAGCAAAAAAGTAAACAATTTTACGAGTGATAAATTAAATAAATAGTTATTTCAACTCTGCTGATGAAAATTTCTGATGAAATACCAAACCAAGGTTATTTCCAGGGTTATTTTGCATTGGTTGAATAATGTAGCTATTATTTTGTGAAATCCATTTAAAATTAAAATAAGATATTAGACCTAAGGAATAAAAGAACCAGATTACAAATATTTGAAAAACAGCAAAAAACACATTTCCACAACGATGAGTTAGCTCGGAGTTTTACTGAACTTAGTCATATAGTTATTTGCTTGATTTGTGCTATTTGTTTTGATATAATTGGTTTGGTTTTCACAATATAATTGGTCAAAATCAAATTGGAACCTTGTGTCTTGCCCTACTATATACAAAAAAATGTCATTTGGCAGTCAAAAATGTTTATTGGACATATCGACATATGTACATTAAATTATCAGATATTTTATAGAGATTTTAATAATGTGCACACATTTTGTGTTATTTTTTTATATGTGTATATTTAAAATTCACGGTTCAAGCATATGTCTTCGACATTTTCGACAGTATATGGAATAACCGATTTGAATAATTTGATTGACAGTATATGGAATAACCGATTTGATTTGTATTGATAGTGAGACGTGCTGATTAGCGGAGACAGGTCTAGCGGTTTCGAAGACACGGGGAAAAAAGAGCCAAAACCGGTAACTCAGTTTTTGAGAACGGAGCGTCCAATTTTAAAAATTCAAAAAACATTTTACTTGTTTTGACAAGACGAAAAACTGATTAAATTTTCAGAAAGGCAGGTTCAGCGGTTAAGGACTCCCAATAAAAATAAGTTAAAAAAATGTCCTTTGGCGGTCAAAAATGTTTATTGGACATATGCACATCAAATTATTACATATTTTATAGAGATTTTAATAATGTGTACACATTTTGTGTAATATCTTTTGAGTTCTATACCAA